GGATCTAGAAAAAAGCATTGAATGAGGTTACCCCAAAAGGAAGACAGATATAATATGTACTCACTCATAAGTGGCTTCTAGACCTAAAGCAAAGAAAAATCAACCTACAGTCTACAAACGCAGACAACTTAGACAACAAAGAGAACCCTAAGAGAGACATACAAGTATCTGTATAGAAATGAGGAAAATATAAGATTTTCTGAGTAAATTGGGAGCAAGAAAGTCAATGAGAGGGTAAAAGGAGAGGGGAGTGAAGGATGGGATTGGAGAAAAATGTTAATATGCTGTTTGTGAAGCTCAGTGGTAAAGAACTATCAGGCATAAATGAAACCATTGGATTTACTCCAGGCTGGAATCATAATTATTCTTCTAAGAAGAATGTGAAGAATTTAATTGAGAGAAGACTTCTATAACTGGAATAAAAAACATATTCTCTTTATACAATATTAATGTAATACAATTTTATTGTATTACAATGGCACCAGAGAAGTTAAGTAACAAAGAACCCTAAGAAAAACATATACAGATGTCCCCGGGAAGGGGAAATAGACAAGATATCCTGAGAAAATTCAGAGCATGAAGGTGGGCAGAGAAGGGAAAGTGAAAAGGAATAGGAGGGGAGGGGCAGAGAATTTGAGGAAATGGGATAATCAAGATGTAGAAAGGACAGAGACAGAGAATAAAGAAAGAGATACCTTGATTGAAGGAGTCATTATGAGCTAGTAAGAAACTTGGTACTAGAGAAATTCCCAGAAACCCACAAGGATAATCCCAGCTAAGACCATAAGACCATAAGACTGCTTTGCTCTGCAGTCAGATTGATGACTATCTTAGAGGTCACCATAGAACCTTCATCCAGCATCTGATGGAAGCAGAGGCAGAGAGCCACAGTAGAGCACTGGGCTGAGCTCTCAAAGTTGTTGAAGAGCGGGAGGAATAAGAATATGTGCAAAGAGGTCAAGAACATGTTGGGGATACCCACTGAAACAGCTTATCTGAGCTAATAGGAGCTTACCAACTCCAGCCAGACAGGAAAGGAGACAGCATAGAAGCAAACTAGGCCTTCTGAACGTGGGTGACAGTTGTATGGCTGGGGCAGACTCCATGGCCACTGGCAGCAGGATGAGAATTTAGCCCTACTGATTGTACTGGCATTTTAAAATTCATTCCCTTTGGAAGGATATCTTGCTCAGGCTAGATATAGTAGAGAGGGCTTTTGTCCTTCCTCAAAGCAATGTGCATTGCTCTCTCTGAGAAGTGGATGGAGAATGAGGTAGAAGGGAAGTTGGAGAGAATAAGAGGAGGGGACAGAGTGAGACCTGGAATTGGTATGTAAAATGAAAAATATATAATTTGCTTTCTTTTATAAAAAATAATGCAATAAGAAAGAATTTAAGAAAATAATTTGAATAATTTAATGACAGATGATTTCTATAAAAGAAATGAAAAATATTCTTTTTAAACAGTATCAATATAAAACAATTTTATTGTACCTCACAAATCCATACAAATAAACTGAATATTCATTGTCTTCCCTCTTTTAATAGACATAAGCGAAAATTCCTTCTTAGGTGTGGTGATCACGTTTAAGAGTCTAAATTGTTCTGCTAGCTTCCATGAGATCCATTATTATACTATAAAGGCAAATTACATACACTTGGGACTTTATTCTTATTATTTTTTGTTTGTTCAATGTTCATATAAATAATAATCTGATCATAATCATATGGCAATATTTTATCAGTAAAATCAGGATATATACAGGAATATATAAATATGAGATTATATAGAACATTCTGATGATATGGGAAATCAGTAATGATCATGTGCTTAAGTGAATAAAATATGGTTAATATCCCTGAGCCTAGATTCTTCTTAGGGTTCTTTTGTTTCCAGTTTTATGTTTTACCCCAAGGATTAAGTAAGCACATAGTAAGCAAGCACTCAGCACTAATGTATTTCTTCAGCTTTTTTCTCATGCAAGAGTTTTCTAAATTACATATGGTGTCCTTGGCCTACTGAGGGCTTGCCCCATTAAGTGCAGATGCTCATACCTTCTAATGATTATTCTATATATCAATTTCTTATCCGGACTATGTTGAAAGAAATTCCTGGCTTCGTTTGTAGTTGCAGGTCATAAGTGAGACCTCAATATCTCCCAATTTCCCAAGTCAAAACAAAGAGCAAGTGGAAAGTGGACAATCTTGTGTTACAATGGTGTTTGCTTGTCTTGCTCTATCCTCGGACAACAAACACTGGCAAATGTCTATTCTGCAGAAGTGTACATAATCATTCCTGCCTGATGTCACAGGCATTTGGACCATGGATATGTTTTACTACTATTCATAATGTTATATAGATGTGAAATGTCATCATTCCCCTTAGAGAGAAATTTTTTTAACATGCATAAGATTCTACTGTCCTCCCAAGTAATATGAAGGACATCTTCTATCTAGATTAGAAAGTCTTACCACAGTTACTGCAAGTTTTATGTTTCAGGGGAATAATTTAAAATGACTTCTGAGTATAAACACTTCATCTACTACGTTGATTTACAGAAGAGAATGCTCTTTATAAAAGCACATTTTTCAAGAGTTATGTAAAAATAATCTCTGCCCTTGATATCTTCATTGTACCAACATGGTTCATTTGTTGATATTTTGTTTATTTTGCAGAAAAATTCCATATGAGAAAACCATATGAAAGTCAACTTTGATGGAGTGGTTTACTTGTCTCCTTACCTTCCTTCAGGTTAAGCTTTTCTTTACTGCCAATTAAATTGAGCATTTTAAACTATCCAGAGCCATGTTTTAGTTCTCACAATATTTCCAAGAAGTTCCAGAAAAGATAAAAGAAGCCTTAGAAAAAGGATTCCATTGTCTGCTCTGCACTGTCTGGAACCTTCTTCCTAACTAATGTCTCAATAACCACTTGCTCTTTTTTACTTGACTTAGCTGTTCCCACTCTACTTAGACTCAACAAATACAGTATGTCTTCATTTACCAACAAAACAGTCTTTCTTAGCCAAAATATTACTAATACACAGTCATTGTGGGTGTTAAGAGTAATGTGAGATGAATAAAGAAGGGAAATATGTGCAGTGATATGTCTAAGAAAGTTGCAGTGATACGCATAGAAATTTAAGATTCATATGATAATATGATTTTTCAGAACCTTGAATGATTCCTTGCAGGGGAACACTCTTATTTACTCACTCTTTGTCTTCTTGGCTCCCTGTTTAATGACTTTATTGGCACAGTTTCTGCCCTGTAACTACTTTTCTTTAATTAATAGGTCCTTAAATATTCAAATTATTCCAATTTCAATTTGGTAGATTAACTCAAATTCCTACTACAAAAAGAAAAACAATTTTTGCCTGGCAATCTTGTCTACTTCCAATATCCAGGAGGATAACTATATGTTTTTCTTTGGATTCACCTTCTTATTTAGCTTCTCTAGGATCACGAATTTTAGGCTCAATGTCCTTTAATTATGGCTAGATTCCACTTATGAGTGAGCACATACCATATTCATTTTTGGAGTCTGAGTTACGTCACTTAGGATAGTGTTTTCTATTTCCATCCATTTGCATGTAAAATTCAAAATGTCATTGTTTTTTACTGCTGAGTAGTATCTAGTGTGTATATATTCCACACTTTATCCATTCTTCCATTGAGGGGCATAGGGGGGTTGCCACAAGTATCTTCTGATTCCAGGTAAGATGCTAGCTTTGGAGTAATTAAGCTGTTTGCCCTTCTCTCTAATGCCTAAATGACAGAACAGCATCCGTATTGCTTTAAGATGGTTATAGAATGGAGGCCAGCATGTTACACTCTTTATTATTTCATTCAGTTTTCTGGTACTGCATAGAGGCCATCTTCTTGTTTCTCTGTTATCATGGACTTTGTGAAAGGAGCCTCTTCCTCTCCTTTTTTATTGTTTGAAAATAGGAATGCAAAAAGCAGAAATGTATGACTATAATGATGATTTGCATATAAAATAATTCCATGAAACTAAAAGGACAAACTCAGAGAATAATCACTGATACTATATAAAATACCCAGGTCAAATTTTCCTTGTCAGAAATATAACGTATATTTTTGAGGAAAAGAGTACAGATGAATATGTAAAAACACATATACAATAACAGATTTATTTTAGTCATCATAAATTGTTTGAATACTATTTTTTGAAGGGAGCAGAGAAAAATGTATAGCTCAATAAAATCAATTTAAAAATAAAAAACAATAATAAGAAAAATAATCTAAAATAAAGTAACCACTACAACACTAGACACATGTGTAACCCATAGGAAAATCATAATAAAGTTTCAAACTAAAATAATCTCTTATGCTTTCTTATTTTCTAAGAAATGACACATATATGCAAAAATAATTTGAATTAATAGCATGACGAAAACCGGAACCATTAAGTAATTTTCATTAAGCTATTAATTACCAATAAGTCAAACCTGTCACATTGACAGTTTAAAGAGTTAGGTTACTTTCCTAAGGAAGATTTAAAGAGAAGAACAGAATTTAATATTTTAATTAAACATTCAAGGACATGCATTCAAAATGAGAAACCCACATATAGTGTATAATGGCATCCTAATATTACTTCATTTTGGAATTTTGAAGACCTATTTTAATTTATAAAAGGAAATAATAGGTTTGTAATGAAAGGAGGTAGTAGGTAAGTCCTATTAGTAGTATTATTTTTAAGTAAAAAAAGAATAGAAAATGGTAGAAGTGACAAAAATGAAGACTGCAAACTCTGGAAATATTAAATCAAATCCGAAAGACTCAAATATATTTTTCTGATACAAAAAACAGCCTATGTTTTATAAATATTTCAAGTTTTTCTGCTTGTTGAAAAACTGAAAAAAAGTAAAACATGTTAAAAAATTAAAAGAGGTAAAGTTTTCTACTGAAACTTTGTCCATGAATAGAAACTATCTCTGTGCCCAAAGTAAGAGGAATAAAGACAATCCTGTGCAATCAAAAGTTCCTGCAGATCATTGTTTTCTTAAAAGCAAGTTTAATGTCTTTGTTTCTCAAGCTGTAGATTAAGGGATTTGTCATGGGAACGACATTAGTATAAAAGACAGAAGAAAATTTCCCCTCTTCCATAGACCTTCCTGAAGTTGGTTTGAAATACTCAAATGCACTTGAACCAAAGAACAGAGAAACAGCAAGGATGTGAGAACTGCAGGTGCTGAAGGCTTTGGACCTTCCCTCAGATGAAGTGATTTGAAAGATGCTGGAAAGTATGAAACCATAGGAGATAAAGATAGTTGAAGTGGGAACAATGACATTGATGGTCCCAACAACAAGAAGTACAAGCTCGTTGATATCTGTGCTTGTGCAGGAGAGCTGGAGCAAAGGAGGAACATCACAGAAGTAGTGGTTGATGACGTTGGCATCACAGAAGGTCAGTCTCAGCATGCATGTAGTGTTAGCTACAGCATTAGAAAGCGCAATAAAGTAGGAACCAAACATAAGGCTCAAACATAACTTAGGAGACATAACAACATTATACAACAGTGGATTACAGATGGCCATGTAGCGATCATAGGCCATTGAAGTCAACACATAGCATTCAGATACAGCAAAGAAAATAAAGAAATAGACTTGGGTCATACATCCCATGTAAGAAATATAATTCTTCTTTAATATGAAGTTTATCAGCATTTGGGGAGTGAACACAGAGCAATAACAGATGTCTATTAAGGACAAGTTAAAGAGAAAAAAGTACATAGGAGTATGTAAGTGAGAGTTCAGCACGGTCAGAATTATCAAACACAAATTTCCCAATGCAGTGAACAGATACATTGCTAAGAAAAGAAAGAACAAGGGCATTTGGAGTTCAGGCTGATCTGTTAATCCTACCAGAATGAATTCAGTCACCACAGAGACATTTCTTGCATCCATTCTTCTCTAAGGGAATCTGTGAGCACAGAAAATAGAGCTGTATTAGAGGATAATCCTCTCTCTTCATGGGTCCTGCCCACCTATGACTTGTTTGTTAAGAATGTTTCTTCTAGACTGGACTAATGACATAGAATACCTGGCATAGCCTCAAACAAACTATCGTAAGTCAGAAATCAATTGATAATGAATTTCCTTATGAATTCTGAAAAGCATCACAAGCTAAAGAATACACAAAGGATTCAACCTTACCCCATCTCCAGTCTTCCCTCACTAGAGCCCTACCAACAACAATAACATTGCATTGAGATGCCTGGACTAGTTCATTGCTGGTTTCTCCTGAAGATTCCCTTTCCTGTGGTGCAAGTGAAAAACATGTGACTATACTAAAACTGAAGGAAGAAGAGAGAAGCCGGGCTAAAACATTCCCTGTCCCCTTGGCACAGAGTCAGGAATCTGGAAAGTCTAAATTTTGACCATGCAGGAGATCCCTAGTGAAGTTGCTGCCAAGTGGCCAACACCTTTTAACACTCTCTGATTGCCCTGAATGCTTTTGTCTGCTTGTTTTACATTATTCTCTTTTTGCTCAGCCAAAGGATAAAATTTGCCAAAGCCCATCACGAGATAAAGAGTTAGGAATCAAATAGAGGGGAAGTGGGTAAGATCTCAGATGAGTTTGGGAAAAATCAGCTGTAATAAGAATATATCAGATTAATAAAATGTCTTCAAAATAAAAGAATAGTACGAAAAAATTTATTTTACAAAAAGAAAGACAGAGGAGAAAAAGGAGAGTTATTAGTATATCTGAAATTCAGAACTCACAGTTTTCAGACCATTTCTTAGAGCAGTCTTATTTTCTCATTTCCCTGCTTATATAGATAAAGATTTCAGATCTTTCAATTCAAAGTTATACATAAGACCTAATTTTCCTGGATCAATTTCTGAATTACAAAACACCATTTCTTGTTAAGACTTGAATCTTTTTTAGAAACAGAGAAAGTGGCCCTCTAAATTCAGGATGTGTATGCTTAGAAGCAGGACAGAAGTGTGTCAAGGCTCTTCCTCAGAGGAGAACATTTATACTGAAAAAGGAACTGAGAAAAATGCATTACGCCCTTGAACATGACCCTGAGAGACCCACAATTACACTCATCCTCTCCATTTACTCTAGAGAATGTACAGTCCATAGTGTAGATATTGAGATAGACTCTTGCCTCTCTAATTACCTTGATATCTGAAGGGAAATCTGTGCTTGGGGTTTTTCTTCTCTTCCTGTAATTAAGTGAGAATTACTCATAGATCTTGCAGCTGACAATAGTCTGTGTCTGAAATTTGCAGAGTTGTAGGAAGTTACCTCCAGTGCTGTGGAACTAGAAACATCACAGATGCTATTAAAAAAAAAACTATATTTCAGAAAAAGACTGATACCAGGATACATGCTAACATGGAAAGGGGAAATCTCAAGGGGCCTCAACCAAAGAAGAAGAACTAAAGATAGTTAAAGAATGTTGGGATGGCTAAAAATCATCTTTTGGGGCCATGTGGTGGTGGAGCACTTCTTTAATCCCAGCACTAGGGAAGCAGAGACAGGGGAAATCTCTGTGAGTTCAAAGCAAGTCTGGTCTACAAGAGCTAGTTCCAAGACAGCCCCAGCTGTTACACAGAGAAACCCTGTCCTGAAAAGCAAAAACAACAACAAAAAGAAATAGTCTTTTTCTTGGAAAGAAACATATCCCAATTTGTTATCCAGTGTCAAGTGGTCAGGTATGAACTCATAAAAAGTAACTGACATTCCTTGGTTTCATTCTCTTCTATACTAACTTGAGAGAAAATGTAACATTGGAACATGTTTTCTTTAATTTTCTTTGTGTTTGATAAATACACTAAAGATTTCTCTGTACAAATTACAAAGGCCCATTCACTCTAAAGTGTTTCAAATGAATCAGCTTTCTTTAGCACTTTATTCATATTGACAAATATGCAGAACTGAATTTGCAGTACAGCTGAGTACATTTTCAGCAGAACTTTACCATTTCTACAAATTCTTATCCGATGTGGCATTTGTAGTATCTTAGAATAAAGTAAGTAAAATCCTTGGTTGGCTGATTTCTATCATTTTCATAAAAACATGCATTTTTTATCAAATAATAGGACATGATTTTCCAAATAATCAAGTAAATTCACAATGGAGTTGCATATTTCTATTGTTGAAAAGGTTTCTAATTTTTCACTAATATCTTGTCTTTGAAAGAATAACTTAAATCATATCCTCTCTTCTCTGCATCTCCACTAGGGAGCAAAGTATCTCCTTTATTTGCCAATGTGATAGATACAGAAGGCCGCTTAGCAATGATCACAAATATCTCATTTTGCACCTGCATGAAATGTATTGTATTCCTGTTGTATCTATATGCAAGTATATCAGCAAAAAAGCACTGTTACCATCTGCTGACTGCTTGTTAAGGACACCATTGTGATCAGGAAGTTAAAATACAATTAAGAAATGAAGATACTAAGTGACCTAAAGGCTTCTGATATTAATGGATTGGTAATTTTAATATTGTGAAAGTGGTCATCATAACAAAAACAATCTATGGATTAACTAACAATCCCATCAAAATCTCATTGCCATTCTTCATAGAAATTGAAAATCCATGAGTACCATTTTATATACATATTTACATAAAATTACTTAAACAATTATTGGCTTGCATTTTGCAATGAATTATACCAATTTCTGAAGTGACCTTAAAATCTTTTTTTCATTCTTTTTATTTATTTATTTATTAAAAATGTCCACCTCCTCCCCTCCTCTCATTTCCCTCCCGCTCCCTTTCCCCCTCCCTCTCCAGTCCTAAGAGCAGTCAGGGTTTCCTGCCCTGTGGGAAGTCTAAGGTCCTCCCCACTCCATCCAGTTCTAGGAAGGTGAGCATCCAAACAGACTCGTCTCCCACAAGGCCAGTACATGCAGTAGAATCAAAACCCAGTGCCATTGTCCTTGACTTCTAAGTCAGCCCTCATTGTCAGCCACATTCAGAGAGTCCAATTTGATCACATGCTCCATCAGTCCCAGTCCAGCTGGCCTTGGTGACCACATTATACTGTATCTTAAACTTTCTGTCTGATAACATTTCCGTCAATTTCATATACTTAAAACAAATAAATCAAGCATATAGCATTTATAAGAATAATATAGAGAATATAGAGCTGCCAATCAAATGCATTAACAAAATAGAGATTAAACTTGTACCCCAAACTACAGGAATGAAGACCCATGTGTCCATTCAAACCTTCCACATTGTCAAGGGTATTTTCTGGATGATTCTATCATTCATGGTTTTTGACTATACTCTCACTAAGGTGGGTCATGGCATCTCTTGGTACTGTATCTGGAATTTATATTTTTGGTTTGTCCTAATAAAAATTTCATGTGTGTGTGTGTGTATGTGTGTGTGTGTTTGTTTCATAATTCTGTGAACAAGGTACCACAAATCTGCAAATGCCCTGACCGACAGACAACCAGTAAACCTTAAAGAAGACAAAATGATGGAGTTGACTTATACAAGGTTAAACATGATTTAACTCTGGTGTCTTTGGAAAAAAAATCTGTTTTCTTCTTTCCTTCCTTCATTCCTTGCTTCTTGCTTCTTTCCTTTCTCCCTCTCCCCCATCCCCCCCCCATCTCTCCTGCATCAGACGTTGAATATTTTCTGCAAGGTAATAAAGTAGTAAAACATTCTTCACCAAATTCTTTTTCATAGCACTTCTTTAACTTTAGATACTGTACTAGATATTTTCTTGTTACTGTGATGAAATGCCTGAGAAAGCAAGTTGAGTAATGATTCCTTTGGTTTCATAGTTAAAAGATATATCCCAACATGGTAAGGAAGCTATGTTAGTAGGAACATGAGGTAGCTTGGAATATTGAATCCATGGCCAGGAAACAGAAATATGAAATCCACTGTTAGCTGGGTTCTTTATCCACCTTAAGGACAATTTGTTTCTTTTCTTTTGTTTTTATTTACTCTTTGTGTCTTTAACAGTATATATTCTGATTACTCCCCCAAGAATAAAACAAAATAAAATTTAGTAGAATAAAAGGGAGGGGAAAAGAGAAAGGAAAAGCATTGACATGGAAGCTACAGTGTGACATAGTGAGTCACATAGTAAACCTCTCTATCCATATATTCTTGCATGCAGGCATTCATCACAAAAAAATCATTAGTCTGGTTTGATGCCCCTGGTCTCTGCTACATCATAAATGCTGTGTCATCAATGAGATTCTTCCGGAGCGTTGTCTTGCTGCCTGTTTCCTGGATATCCTACAGTCCTGGATCTGCAGGACAGACCCACAGTCTCATTCCCTTGGCTCAGCTATTCACAGATGAGTTGGATGTTGAGGTAGACCAACATATAATCTTGGTTTTTGGGCCTCAGAAGTTGTAAGGTTGACCAGTCTGAGAGCTTGATAGGATTAGAGTGTACCTTTTCAAGTCCTCATTCTTGAGAACCAAACACTTTAAGAAAAGGTATCTCTTTAGGTCCAGTATTTTGCTTTTTTAGTATTCTGCCATAAAGAATTATTTTCTTAATTTTTGTTAAGACTGTTCATTTCTAATTCATGGAAATTATATTTTTTAGTGTTGACTCATATTTGTGAAATTCCCTATCTAATTTCATGTGCTCTAGTTATTATCATTTTCTATTTAATACCACATGCTCTGTGAAGAAATATTTATCCTTCATACTTTCTAATTTGGTATATTTTGTTTATTTTTCTTGCCCAATGACTTCATCTAGAACTATTTATACTGTGTTAAACAAAAACAGGAAATTGGAGCATCAAGAGTCATCTCAGTGGCTAAGCACACTTACAGGACATGTAGAGTATCATGGTTTCGTTTCCAACTCCAAAGTAAAGTGACTCACAATTCTTGATAACTCTGGATTCAGGTAGTATTATGTGATATTCTGGACTCTACTAGCAACTTCTAAGACCCGAT